TGTTTTTTTGAGAATATTTTGTTTTGTTTTTAGTGCATTTTGTTTTGTTTTTAGTGTATTTTGTTTGGAAGTCGGTTTTGTTTTTTATATAAGAAAGTGACAAACGTGCAAAGATATCTGAATTCGTTGATTTAGCGGAGCGATTACTGCGAATGCGAATCTTATAGAATTACAAGACATTACTACGTAGTTAAAAAAAAATACGTTTGTTTATATTCTGCAAGAGGTTTTGCATTAAATTTGTACGACAAAGTAATCAGTGTACATCAATCGAATCGATCGGTCGTTGACAAAGTGCGAGAGTTGTCCTGTATCGTGTTTCAAACGCACGGCTTCCGGCTCGACAGTGGCTCTGATCGATAGCTTACTTCCTGACAAATGGGAAAGCGAAGTATAGGTTTGTGATTATAGTAACTCAAATTCGAATCTATTTTGTATGTTTTGATCGTGCACTCTTACTTAAACTACTACAAATACCTAAAATAAAGACAAAAACCTGTTGCGCCAACCCTACAGGAGTAGGATAAGGAGATGATGATGATGAAGAGCCATTTGATGAAGATTTAGCTCTCGACTTAAACTGCTACAATAAGTGAAATCTTGTCTACTAATTTTTGAAGTATATGAATTATCAAATGTCAACATAGCGCCACGTTTTATTAAAAGAAGAAAAAAACCTTTTTAACTTTACTCGTCAAAGTTTATGGTTTCGAAATCGGTTAGTCGTCGCGTGTCAGAGACGTTGCGTAGTAAAGGCGGGGAGGGGGTCTCGGGTAATGATTTATTGGAACACAAGTCCCCTGGTCACGTGCGCACGTGTTTAGGAATTCCGAGAAATGTGAATAAGCAAGGGACTTTCCCGTCCGGATCGTATATTACGATATAATGTTTTTAGGGTTCGCTACTGTGAATATAATATTGATGTTGGTTTTATAAAACTAATTTAGTCGTAACACTGTACATGAATTAAAGGATTGCTGATAAATGTTTTTACGGCTTTCTGGACTGTTGTAACTAAATATTAGATGTTTCTGAGTAATGAATAACTAATAATGATATCTTAATATAATGTGTTATTTACTACAATAAACAGTATTAAATCACGTTCATTGAACGTTAACAAAATCATTTGCGTCGGCTTTACCATTGTCATAAATATAATAGACGATACGGTTTTTTGATGAGGCATGAAATCCTAAATCAGGCGACGGTGAGCTATCGAGTGACGTTAACGAGCCGTCAAATTGTCGATTAAACAACAAACGAGTGCCTCTGTCACGAATAACCGTACGTACAATGAATTGTTCGATACTTTGATAGAAAAAAAACATTTGCAATATCACGCTTAGTGTT